TGGGTAGCTTTCCGCCATCGTGAAGTTCTAAATCAGTGGTTCTACAGGGTAGCTTTCCGCCATCGTGAAGTTCTAAATCAGCGGTTCTACTGGGTAGCTTTCCGCCATCGTGAAGTTCTAAATCAGTGGTTCTACTATGTACGCTTTCCGCCATCGTGAAGTTCTAAATCAGTGGTTCTACTAGGTAGCTTTCCGCCATCGTGAAGTTCTAAATCAGTGGTTCTACTGGGTACGCTTTCCGCCATCGTGAAGTTCTAAATCATGGCTCTACTGGGTACGCTTTCTGCCATCGTGAAGTTCTAAATCAGTGGCTCTATTTGGATACTCTTTCGCACCATCGTGAAGTTGAAAAACCTTGGCTGTTTTGGGTACTCTTCTTGCACATTATGTTAAAAAGATGAAAGTTGAAATATCTGTAAATCCAGACCGTCTATATTTGTAGAATGTATGTTATGTGCATTGTTTGTACACAGGGATAATCACACCTACCTAAAACTGCTATGTGGAAATTAAATGTTTGGTACATGTAAACTCTCTGAAAATGTATCTGGGGTATTGTTTCAGATCAGTATTTATCACCTATTGTTCTTGTGATCATCACCATTAGTGTTCTTAGTGAGTTATCAAGACCACCTGGAGTGCAGTGAGTTTAGAAGAGATAATCGAACATCTAGGTTTCAGAGAGCACAGAAGATGACTGTCACATCTTGGGCTGGACAGTCATGTCGGTGCACAGAAGGCATGGACATAAAAGGTTAAGTGCAAGGCCTGTGAAATGATGCCGCAAGATGGAGAAAGGGCAAGCAGATGCTCACTCTGCATGCACCTACGAGGGACTCAGAAAACAGACCAGCTAAGAGGGGAAGAGTAAGCACTTCACCGAGAAGGCTCAGCAGCGGGGAAGCACATGGAAACAAGCTCAGCATCGTGGCTCTCCAAGTCCAGTGCCAGTGAAGACGGGGGCGCCGGATGGCACAGGTCAAAGTCACAGCAGCTGAGACTGTACTTCAAGTGTCTTACCACGAAGGACAAGTGAGGTGAGGACGTGTGTGATTCAGTCATTCCACATTGTATACATGTATCAAAACATCCCTTTGTACTCTGTAAATGTAATGTAAACAGTAAAAAGTGTAATTCAATTATTTGTCAAAAAATACTAATAAAGAAATTTTTAAAGGCACATTTGAGCTGGACTCTTGGGGAGGAGCTAGGGCTGTCCGTAGCCTTGCAGAGGAGGCAGGCAAGTGGCTGTCCTGGGGAAGGAGCCAGGCCAGCTCTCCCGGGAGGCCTGAGAGAGCAGTCAGTCTCAGAAGGGACCTGAGCCACCGTAAGCGCCTGAAGTGAGGTACAGGCTGTCTCTGGGGAAAGCCAGGCACCGAGCAGGAGCTGAGACTGTGAGGGCTTGTGTACGGGGCATTGGGGTCGGAGAGAGGAGAGCGAGCCTGGGCCATGGGGACCAACTCCCAGAGCTCAGGGCCAGGTTCTGGGAGACTGATGAGGGCGGGCGGGGGGTGGGGCTCAGAAGCTGGGAGGGGGGCCTGGGAGGTGCCGGGGAGCTGCCTCAGCCAGTGGAAGACCCTTCAGCACAGGGCAGACAGCCGCGTCTGGGCCCCGGGGTATCCTGTGGAGGTGGGCAAAGGCTCAGAGCAAGATCAGAGCAGGGCGTAAGTTTGACTCAGGGTTGGGGCTGCATGTCAGCTGGAGCTACTTAGTGCTCACTGTTTGGCTAAGTGACAGATTGAGTCCTTGAGGGAGCATGTTCGGGTAATGGTCAGACCCAGGCCTCAAGGCAGTTCCTTTCTGGACCATGTGCCACACCAGACAGCCTCGTGGAGGCCACCATCCTTCCTAGTACCCCCTTCTCTATGGACTCTAAGCCAGCCCCTCTTTGCCACCCAGAGCTACATTAATGGGTGGGTACTGCCCTTCCTGCCAATTCTATATAAACAGGGGGGGGTGGCAGTAAGGAGGGCAAGGGGACACGTGTGTCGTGAGGAGGGGCTGGAAGTCCGTGGAAGGGGAGCGCTCCACAGCGGAGCAGAAACAGGACTGTGAGGCTCCCGGGCAGAAAGGCAGGCTGAACGCCTCCTGGGTGGCTGACGGAGGTGGTGCCCAGGTGGAGCCGGTGCACCGCGGTGGCAAGGCAGTAGGATCGCACATTCCAGGCCGTCGGGGGCAGCTTTGTGAGATCCTGTCTCAAGCTGAGAAAGGGCTGGCGGACCCCTGTACCTGGGAGGCACCTCCACCATGCTGTGTGCCCGCGGCTCTCCTGAACTCACCCTGCCAGCTCACCGGATCCAGCCCTCGGCACCACGCTCCCTGCTGCTTCCCCACCCAGTGCCTGCTGCGCTCTGGGTCCCGCCACCGCTCGACACCCCTGCCCCTCTCTGCTTCTGAGTGCAGCTCCTGTAGGTCCCTCATTGGGAACATGATAATTGTCTTCCTGTGCCTGGTTTATTTCACTCACATAGTGTCCTCCAAGTTCATCCGCCCTATGGCAAATGCCCATGTACTGTATATGCAAAGACCCCTCAGGGGAGTTGGATGTGTTTCACCAGCCAGGAGCAGTGGCAGCACACGCCCACCCATACCCAGCCACGAGGGAGCCTGAGGGAGGCTGAGGCAGGAGAGCGAGGTCATCCTCAGCAATTTAGCCAGGCCCTCAGCAATGTAGCCAGACTGTCTCAAAGGGGCTGGGAGTGTGGCTCAGAGATAAAGCACCCTAGGTTCAATCCCCCACGTTTTTACCCCAAAAAAAATAAGAGAATGAACATGTCCCCTCTCGGTTTAGCCATTCACAGTCCATAGATGTCAAGACATGAGTCATGCATGTACAAAAATTTTTGTCAACTAAAAGAATAAACAAGACCGGGTACAGTGACCCACACCTGGAATCCCAGCGGCTCAGATGACAGAGGCAGGAGGATCACGAGTTCAAAGCAAGCCTCAGCAATTTAGCGAGGTGCTAAGCAACTCAGACCCTGTCTATAATAAAATACAAAATAGGGGTGCGATGTGGCTCAGTGGTCAAGTGCCCGAGTTCAATCCCTGGTACCCCCCGAAAAATAAAAAACTTTTCAAGGGGGCTGGGTTTGTGGCTCAGTGGTACAGCACTCAACCTAGCACGTGCGAGGCCATGGTTCAATCCTCAGCACCACATATAAATAAAAAAATAAAAAAGTATTGTGTCCAACTACAACTAAAAAATAAATATTTAAAAAAAAAAAAAACACTTTTCAAGGCATTCTGCTCCCTGGTGCTGGAGGGCTCTGAACACGCCCAGCCTTCACAGTCCAGCAGGTCCGGCCGTCCTGGTCCAGGGGGCGCCTGCAGGGCCCCGGAGCTGCTCTTCTCTGAGCTCGAATGGACTCAGCATTAGAGGTGTTTTCAGGGAGGGCTGGGGAGCTTGAGGCTGGTGGCTGTTGCTCGTTCTCCAGGCTGTGCCAGATCCCAAATCCCCAAAACAGGGAGCAAATCCTAGTGGGGAAGTGGGACAGCCAGGTGGGAGGCAGTCACTGCTTTAGCCTCAAGGGTTTCCACGTCAGGCTGGAGACTGGTCCGGGGGAAGCTATAGAGAACTGTGGAGCCCTCTTCCCCCAGAAGACCACTCACCGATCGCCATCCAGACCCCAAGTCACACCCAGGTCCCACAATGATACCAAGGGGAGGACGGGCAGCACAGGGACCTGTGGACCAAGCCATGTCCCCAAGCACACCAGCCATCTGAGAGCTCCCGTCCCCCTCAGGGTGGGAGCACCAGCCCTATTCACATTGTGCAGTTATGCCGGTCCATGCCAGGGACCCCATGGGGCGCTCCAGAAGAGATGGGATAGGGACGGATTAGCACTGAGTGCCAGGGACCAGGCGGGGGCAGTGAACGACTGCTGGTTTCTGCGCCCGCTCCCTTCATGTTCTCCCAGGTCTGTGCTCCAGGATGGGTAGTCTAGGGACAGCAGGTCTCCTACCTTGAAGTGAAGAGGGGTGCTGTTCTGGGGCTGTGTCCAGATGGCCAGTACCACCCCAACAATAAGCAGCAGCACAGCCACTGTCACAGAATCAGAGTCTTCAGAGAACAGGCGCTGGGGCCACAGGGACCAGGATCAGGCACAGGATGGTAAGCAGGGGGACTGAAAGGGACATTGGGGAGGACGAGTCCAGTTCCAGAGCCGAGTAAAAAAGGCCCCTGTCCACATCCCCACAAACCCAACCCCACCCTCAGCTTCAGAACCCGGAAGTGATCCTGCAGCTCACCAAGCAAGGAGGCACATCAGAGACCAGCTGGCCAGATTTCAGAGTCAGGTGGCAGTGGAGGGGACACACAGGCTCCTGAGCTGCTTCTGTCCAGGGTTCACCACAAGCATGTCCACCTCTATTTTCCTCATTCTTGCGGAAACTTGAGTTCTCTTCTGGCTGCACCTGGATGAGCAGTGAGCAGGCGAGACTGCAGCCACCCCACACATCCACCGTCAGGCAGCCAGGCTCAGCAAGCTTGTCAGGGCTGAGGGAGTCTCACCTGAGGACCAGGACAGAGAGGCCACCAGGGAGAAGGCCAGCAGGGACCCAATGGACGTGGGGAAGGCCATGGATGCTAGAATTAGGGCACCAGAAGGGTGAGGCGGGAAGGGGGACAAGGTGAAACTGGCTGGGGAAACATCCAAGTTCAGGAAGTCCCTCAGGGAAGGCTCGGGCTGTCTCACCTGTGAGGATTCCAGAATGATAGTGGCCAGGGCGCCATGCGTGACCTGGCATGAGTCTCGGGAAGAGCAGCCCATCCTCCGCCATGGCACAGGTCACCCAAGGCTCAGGGAACACGGACCCCAGGAGACTGGAGGAGGAAAGGGACCAGCTGAGGGCATGGAGCTGTGGAAACGGGGCTTCCGCCTTGACTTGTGTG